TGTCAGGGCATCAGTAGGAGGGTGGTGAGTAATTGCATGGTGCCTCACTTGTTTTGTGTGTTCTATTATTGTTATTATTATTATTGTTGTTGTCATTATGATTATTTCCCCTTCCTTTCCTGTCCTATTAAACTGTCTTTATCTCAACCCGTGAATTTTACTTTTGTTTTTTAATTTTTTCTCCAATTCTGTCCCCCATCCCAGTGGCAGCAGGTGGAGGGGTGAGCGAGCAGCTGGCTGCTGGGTTGAACCACGACACTGCCAGCGTCTTGAGTCTCAAATCCCCCACAAGCCTAATCACTGGAAATAGGATTTGGAGGAAGTACAGCACTGTTAGAAAGCTGTCACAGCACACTCAGATGGAACCAGCGGAACACCAAGGAGCACGAGCACACCACAAACCAAACAAATAGCAAAGCCTGCCTATGAGTGAGTGTTTTGCAGGTTCCTGCAACATGAGAGACTCTTCCCTATCAGTTATTGCTCCAGACTTCTGGGGCACTTGAAGGGAACCTCAACTTTGAAAGAGACCACCAGAGACGAGTTGATTCCCTCCTAAACACACTGTCTCCAGGGAGAAAAAGAAATTTCATCCCCTCTGATCTTGTAACCAAACTGCCAGCCAAGCTCTCGTAGGCTCAGTGCTGCCCTCAGCAGAGCCAGCAGACTACTACTACAGGTAGGATCCGACCGTCGAGTTGAACTCAGTTGCTGATTTAAAACTGAAAGTCCATCTTCTCCGCTCCTTGCAGCTGCATTGACCAGGCAGAGATAGAAGCAGCTGCTTCAAAACAACCAAAAGCCACGTTATTTCACTTTCCCAGCGCAGAGCACAGGGCCAACCTCATCTCTTGGCAGAGCTCGCCCGCAGCTCTACACGCACTTCCTCCAGCTGCCGAGTGGTGAGCGGTGACTCACCAAACCAAGCTGCTGACTTCTCAGCAGAGGTAACTCAAACAGGTCAACCTATGTTGTTTCAGAACCCGTATCTCATTTTAATTAAGACGAGACACTTCCACCTCCCTTCAAACTGTAATTACAGCCAAGCCTATTAGGGTAGATAGCAGCGTAGTGCTCGGCACGAGGTGTGGCCGGCGGTTCCCCGGCACCCACGCAGGGTTTCTCCTGTACTTCCTCCTAGGGCTGTCCCCACTGCAGGGTTCATACCAGCCAGGCTGCCCGGCCCAGCTCTGCCCTCGTTAGCCGTTCATTTACGTGGCACCCACGCTGGCTGGGGGGGGGGGGGGGGAGCAGGGTGGGGAAGAAGCCTGGAGCTCCTCCTCTCCAAACACGCCGGGGGGGACATACCTGTGCTCTGAGTGCACAGGGGAAGTGGGACACCGGGGAGCTTTCTGCAGGGCCCACGCGCTTTTATAGCGGGAACTGTTAATCCAAAGAAAAAGCTGCCTATGAACCCTCCTCTAGATAGCCCCCCCCCAAAACAGCTGGCCTGGATTGAAAGCAACATGATGCCTTCACACCTATTTTACAAAAGACGCTACTCAACTGTTTTGTACACCAGCAGCAGAGTTCACTCTCAGCACTGAGACTTGTGAAATACAATGGCCTTAAACATAAATCTCGTGTGCTTCCTTAAAACCCCCAACCCAGACTACGCTGTGCCGTCACTTTGAAACAAAGCAGTGGTGTAAAGTCACACGGAGTTACTGGCTGGACTTGCCTTCACTTCCCAGCCCCCGAGCAGGAGCAGGAAGCGGCTTGCTCAGTTACACCGAGTGCCACGAGGAAGCGGGAGGATTATTGCTCCATCATGACTTCTTTTAAATGGCATGAGAAATCAGACTCAGGCAGTGATCAACCCACTTGTTACAACTCAGAGCAGACCAGTCCTAGTGTACCGGCTACCACACTCACTGACACCAGTCAGAACAGGGCGTGCTTCGTCCCCAGCCTCTCGGCAAGGTGAAGGTGTCGTGGTTTGAGCCTGGTTGGCAGCCAACCACAATGCAGCAGCTCTCTCTCCCTTCTCCTCCGGCAATGAGAAGGGACAGAGAGCCAGGCTTGGAGTTTGAGACAGGACTGGGATGGGGAAAAATTCCCCTTTGTGATCATGAGCAAAAAGTAGACTCGTTAGGGGAAGAAAAAAAGAACATTTATTACAGACACTAACAACACATAACAGAGTAGGACAGTGAGAAGCATTGCCACATCTTGAGAACACCTTCCCCCCACCCCTCCCTTCTTCTCGGGCTCAGCTCTGCCCCCGATATCTCTACCTCCTCCCCCAGGGGCGCAGGGGCAGGGAATGGGGGGTGCAGTCAGTGCTGCCACTTCCTTCATGTTCGGTGAGGGGAGTGTCCGGAACTTGTTCCTCCTGCTCCATCGTGGTCTCCCTCTCACAGCAGACAGTCCTCCACAAACTTTCTCCGACATGAGTCCCTCCCACGGGCCGCAGCGTTCCCCACACTGCTCCGTCATGGGTCACTAACTTCCTCCGACTGGATTCCCTCCCACAGCTGCAGCCCTTCCCGAGCTGCTCTGGCATGGGACTCCCCCGCACGCTGCAATCCTCCCAGCACTGAATTACAGCAGCGGGGCTGCCTTTTCCCACAACACCCCGGCCTTTTTCGGGCACAGCACCTTGATCATTCAAGCAGAAGCCACAGGCCATAAATCAATGTCTGCTCCACCGTAGATCTCCATGGGTGGCAGGGGGGGGCGCCCTGCCGTCTCACCACAGGATACAGGGGGGTCTCTGCTCCGGCACACCTCCCCTCTCCTTTCTTCCTCCGTTCCTCCACTGACCTTGGTGTTCATGCAGCTGCCCCAACTCCTCCTCACAAGTCTGACTGCCCGTCACCACGTCCCTTCTTAAATACGTTATCGCAGAGGCGCAACTGATGGGCTCAATTTTCCAAACAGAGGTGGAGCTGACTTGGAGCTGGGGGACCTTCGAGAAGCTTCTCACAGGGGGCCGCCCCGATAGCCCCCTCCCCTGCCACCAAAAAACTCCACCACTCACTCAACCCAGGACAGAAAGGCAGCATATATTTTGTCCAAGATCGCTTAGAAGGGCAGTCTGCCCTTTTTCCCCTCATTTTCCTCTGGAGATGGAAACTACTCCTCCATCTCAGTGAAGGAAGGGTGAGGAGGAAGAAGAAACAGCATAGAAACCTACCTACAAGGTAAGGCTAACGCTGTTTTAGCTGGAGGAGGGGTGGTAAGCATGCTACGTGGTTGTGCCTCTTAACTCATCCCTGAGGAGCGAAGGTACTAAGGTAGCGAGTTTTGCTAAACTTGAAATCGCATTTTACATTAATACATGGCTTTAGTTACAAGCGCAATATGTATCAGTTCCAAGGCTGCTAGTTGAAGAAGATGCACTTTTTGTCACAGGGCCCACATGACAATCATTGGCTTAAACTCAAGGCTTTTACTGAGCATTTAAGTTGTTATCAAATAGCTTTGGGCGCTCTCAGCTGAAAGGGTTTCTAGAAAAGTCTTCTGCCTCTCCTGTGGCCGAGCTTTAAGAGTGCTTACTTGGCTAGCGTGGTGGAAAGATGACAGTTCTGAGTTACCATGGTGGACAGCAGCTAGAGAGACATGGAGATGATGCCAGGACCCACAGCCATTGCCACCTTCATACACACAAAAATCAGGATGAAAAATAAGAATGTTAAAGACTTGGACGAGACAAACACGGATACTTGTTTTAAACAAAGCTTTGTCATTCCAGCCCGTGAGGAAGGGCACCATCACTGCTTTGAAACGGCTCCCCAGCTCACAGAGCAGTCCCTGCCTTGCTCAGGAAGACAACGTGGAGCCCTTTCTCCCCCCTCCTCCCAGCACCTAGACCGTGAGTTTTACACCCACTCTGGGCACAGTTGTACCCCCTGTTTCCCCAAGCCAGGAGGAGTCACTCATGACAATTCAGATGCAGCTATGTTTAGAATAACCAGTACTTCAAAAAAAAAAAAAAAAAAAAAAAAAAAAGCAGCAGCCTGTCCATTCAGCCTACTTCAGAAGAAGAAATTGAACACAGACTAGTCACCCAGTTTGGTAATACAGGTATCTATTTTATTAAAAAAGTTACAAACAGGTGGACTGTAGGGTTGTCTTACAAAATGACAAGAATGAATTCTACTGGAAAAAACTTTTTACAAAGCATTACAGGTAATTGTTCCGTTTTTGCACTTGTTATTCCAGATTTCACCTATCACTGATAAAGATACAGTACATTAGATACATGATGTTAGGTTACATTTTTATTTGTAGAGCCCTACTGCAGTGATTTGAACAACTCCTAAACAGATGACATAGTAAAGACAATACATATTGCATTTATTATTAGCCTCTTACTCTAATAAGCAACTTCACATGCAATCTATTGAGGAAGCCTAAAATAACTTTTGGTCCCTTTTTCCCCCCAAAGTGTGCTGAAGAAACCATCTCTCGTTTTCCCAGTCCTGTCACTCTAAGCTAGTTCAAGTTTCAGTTTTGTTTTTTTTTTTTCTCTTTTTTCCTTTTTTTTTTTTTTTTTTTTTTTTTTTTTTTTGCGCTGAGGTCAATGAAAATGAACACTGGTTTGATAACTACCCATAGGAATGAACCACTGGTTAATATTAACCAACTTTTTCCGCCTTAGACAAAGAAAAACTAAGATCTTTATGAAATACTTTTATTTCCTATTACCTCCTTACAACCTACAAAAAAGATCAACAACCATCACTTGAAAAAAAAATAATCTACTAATCTACTTTGAATACAAGGTTTGGTTTAATTGGTTGAATTAAAGTGCAAACCTAAGTATTAGCCTCAGCCTGTTTATAAAGTTTGTACAAACAGGGGGGGAAAAAAAAAATTCAAGTAACCCCACAGGAAAAAAAAAATCAGGTGTTTCAATACTCAAGCAGAAAACCTGGTGTCCTCTTCGTTTCAGGATTCAAATTCAACACTGAATGTAGACTCAGAATCTTTATTTCTGCTAACACTGTAAAGTCAGCCTGCATTATTACCAATAAAACACATTAATGTTGAGATACTGTACCGGTGATCTTTTATTGTTTTAAATGCCATCATCCACAATACAATTCGTGAGTTTTCAACTGCTTAACCTCATACATCCATCACTGCTTTTACTGGAGCTTTTCTCAAAGTTATTTAGCTATTGCAGGGAAAGAATGTACATTTCTAGAAGCATGTTCAAATGACTAAAGCTGGGCTCCTAAAAACCTAGAACTTTGGTGCAGTAGGTGAGCTGCAGTTATTAAATTTCTGCAAAAAAAAAATTACACATTTTAAACCACTGCTAGAAAAAGCTCTCATGTATGCAACATGTTAATAAAACTGAACAAAAAGATTTCATCTGTTCTTTGTACATTTTCATTCTGCTCTTTATACCTGTGTTATTGTTAAAATTTTCAAGTATTCAGAGAAAATGTTGATCAGGTAAACAATAAGGAAGGCAATGGCTGTTTAAAGCACGCTTGCAGTTAGTATCACTGAAACTTGGTGCTTTTCCCCTTGTTACACCAACTTGTCTCTAACATTAAGCTTGTTTATTGGGAAGAAAAAAAAAAAAACAAAACAACAACAACAAAACAAACCACAAACTAAAAAGCAATTTGTGACAGTGCAAGAAAAACTTTAACAAATATTGCTTTAAAATATTATTCAGAAAGACAAATATTAGGAACTATAAAAAGTAAAGTGATCTTATTTGCATTAGATTTACATGTGCAGAAGTCTACTAGATGTCTCTCAATGTGCCAGGCAAAGCTGAGCTGACTGACTAGGCATACAGCCCATTTTGAAGGATACGTTATCCCTTTTCAAAGGCATAAAGAAGCTATTTGTAAACAAGCAACTTTAGAAACTCAGCAGAAGGAAAAGTGTGCTGCCATTTTTCAATGCTACAATTGTCATTTTTGATTAAATGAGTTTAAGAAACCCATGATTGCAAGAAAAGAAACATCAGCTACAGACTTAACATCCCATTCCAAGCAATCCCTGTTGTGAAATCGGACCAGTCACAAACGCAGCATCACAGCTGCATTTGCCAAGAAAAGGGATACTACATCCATACAACAGAGGTGCCTTCAGTATCTTTTCATGACACTGTCACACGTAAACAAAAAGTCTCAAAGAATGACCAACTACATTGTAGGAGAAAACTCTGCAAACAGAAATAAGCACTGATGCGAGGTAATATACAGAAGTAACCATTTGTTTAAGGCTCAATTTATTCTCCATTAAAACTCTCTTCTTTTAAAAGGCATTGAGTAGGTAATACTGAGTTTAAGTATTTAATAAATACAAGTTCAGAAATTGATTAAAGAAATCAATTAAAATATTAAAAATGAACTCTTGCATATTAGCCATTATATGAACTTAGAAAGCTATAAAAGGACTGATAGATAAAGAACAGATTTTTAAACTTATGGTAAACATGCTAAGCATTCTGATTAAGGTGTGTGGATCCTGGAGGCCACCAACCTTATGCACTTAGATGTATGGCAATGTGCTGTAAGAGAGACAGGTTTACCAAGGCTCAGCTCTGCAACCTGGGCTGAAAGTTCTCCAAAGCAGCATCTGTGCAAGTTTCCTCTGAGTTTTATCTGCAATTTAAACAAAACAACAAGTGAAAGCCATATTCAGTACACATTCAAAGCGAATGGGCTCCTCCCACAGCGTGGACCAGAGTTTTCCATACATTGCTCCAAAGTGCTGCTTTACACAGTGGCAAGTTCTCCTCCTCTAATTCTGGTAATACCCGAGGCAAGCAGGTAACAACTTACTGCTATGAACTTTGTAACAGCTGCCCCCCCTTGCATACTAAATTGCTTCTAAAGACCTGAGACAGCTAGGAAATTCAAGTGTACCCACACACATATACCTGGCTTTGCACTGGTGCTGAGGAGGCACTACATCACCCAGTAACGGGAAACAATGGTTTTTTGCACAAGTTCTGGGAACAGGTAAACGAGCCAACTAATTCAGTTTTGACATCTGAGTTCTCAGTATTCAGATCCTCTAAATTACTACTACAAAAATCCCTTAGCACTCACCAGACTCAGCAGGGACAGAACTGTATGCCACTCTTCTCAGTCAAGCACACAGATGTAAGTGGTGTTACCCATGTGACCAATACATCTTTGTATTTCTGTTAACTTGCTTGCACTTCACAAGATTTATCTGCAGAGATATCTTAAAAGCCTCAGCTGAAGCTCAAAGTCTGTAGAAACCTGTCTTTCATGCATGCACTTCACCAAAGCTCGATGCTTGGCTTTTCAGGGATTTTGATGAATCTTCTCTATTCTTGAAGTAACTTATTTGCAGGAGTCAGGACCTTATATGTTTCCTACTGTACTATTCCTTTTCAGCTGTTGATTTGCTCTCAGTTAACAGCTTGTCACGACAGAGTGCTCTGACAGTCAGGGTTCCCCTTAGTGCCTGACAACTGGTCATCACCCCCAACATCCAGAACACTACTCCTGTACTGACAGGACCAAACAGACAGGTTTTGCTTGCTCGTTTTTAATGTTTTACAACTAACAGTAATTCTCACCCAGTCTGGTGAGCACGTGTGTGTCCCACTGTTGCTGGTCCACAAGTTTTAGACAGGAGGGTCCCTGTACGGTCAAAACAGCAAACAATCATTCAGCTTTTAATGAGGGTGGATTAGACCTGCTTAATAGGTGTTTTATCTGTGCTTAGAGCACAGGAGAGACAAATCATCTACAGTGCAGCTCCTCATCATACCAGTTAGATCCATCTCAAAACTTCACCTAAATTCATCATCCAGTGCTGTGGCCAGGAAAGAATTGCTGGGGACAGTAAGAACAAGGAAAGCAAGTAATGGTATTTTCCTCCACATGCTCTTTCAGCATACCTGTATTTGCAGGTTAGGGACCTCCCAATTCAGATTTGCCATCTTTCCATTTAACTTGTGCTTAGTGACTACAACTAGCATCATATAGTACCTTATAGCTTCACTTGCCCATGAGATTTCTACAGCATTCTCAGGAGAGAGGAGGATGTTAGACAATCTAGTAGGAAGGATTTGTCTGTGTTGCATAGCCATGCAGACCAGAAGACAGCATACTTTCTGTTTTTATCCCTAGAGCACAGTACTCTTCCTTCAGTGCTTGCTAATATCACTCACTCAGGAATGGGACAGAAATCACTAATCAGCATCAATCTTTCACCCCAATATTAAGGTGTCCCCAATTTGACTAGTACCTCTACAGAAAACCTTTAACACCCCAGCAGTGTAACAGGTGCCATATTTTAAAGAAGATTTAAAATACAAAACACTGAAAATTCGAGAGAAATACTAGAGCAAGGACCAGAAAGCAGCTACTGGAAATATCACACCTCTGAATGCAATAATGAAATGACAGAAGACCACTGCAGAGACAGGAAAGGGGAGGGGGGGAAACAGGATGCAAGAACAACGCACATATTTAAAAGGAACTCTGGGTTATCCTGATTATGTTGTTATGTTCCATCCTTCATTTCACCTAAGGCAGCTGACTGGAGCTGTAATTTAAGCAAGTGCTACTCCAAAATGTCATGACAAAACCTACACAACGTCATACTTGACAGATAGGTTAAGGTATCAGTACCACAAACAGGTAAGGGGTAGCTACGAGTTAAAACTGACACTGCAACAGCCTTCAATAAAACCAGGTCCAGCATATAATCCACCCCCACTCCTCCCACTGGTTTCTCCGTCAGAACTGCAGAGTCACAAACTGCTTCTGTGTACTTCATTCTGAACTAACAGACCTAAGACTCCTCCTGGACACAGACAGCCAAAGGAACTCAGAGATAATGAAGATTATGTTAGGCCAGATCTGTAGCTCAAGCCCACTTCCTACACTCAGGTTTTCAGCCAGCTGGTTCCACTTCCTCAGTTTCACTTTACCTAGGAGGGGTCACTGCTAAAGCAGATGTTTGAGAAGCACCAATTGTTCCCTGGATTGCAGATAAACTGAAGAATTACAAAGCTGATTACAGCTATCACAAGACACCATCAGTAGCTCTCCTACACTAGAACACATTAGACAGAAATTAGTAGGCAGCAAAGGCTTATCATAAAGTTAATGAGATCTTACACCTACTCAATCAAAGAACAAGGACAGAGTGGGAGCTGAAAGACAAAAGTGTGAGTCTGAAATGAAAGATAGGGAGCATGAAGCCTGTGAAGAGTCAGGATGAGTAATAGAAGTTCCAGACATGGTGAGATCTGGACTGAATAGGAAGCTGCTCAGGAAGGACAGATTTACTTGTTTGGCACATGTGATGAGATTACACCAGGCAGAAGCAGCAACTCCTAAAAGCAAGGAAGTATTTTTCTGCTAAAGGCTTGATGTGACATTATGAGCTAGGCAGAATGAAGGAGGGAAAATCTGTATGACAGCCGTTTAGGATCCTCTATCTCAAAAGATCACAAGAATACAGATGCTTCTTCTGAAGCAAGAGCATGCTTTGCTTAAGAAACTCATCAAATCTAGGCATAAGTTAGGATTCAAAGGAATGTGGCCTGTGCCTACCTCAATTCCACCTTTAAGACGAAACTTGATGTTTCATGCTAAATCCAGAACCAGCCAGGTTACAGAGAAGCCTCTCTTAGAATTAACCAATTCTGAAAGTATAAATTTCATGGATAAAGGGCCTGATTTTGTCAAAGTTGAAGACAGCAGCCTGCACAAGATGAACCACTCGTAAGCCAGGTCATTGCTGTAACCTTTGGCACGATACTTCTGAAGTCCAGATACTCTCAGTTGTGAAGCTGCCTTAGAACTAGCTGAAATTTTGCATTACAAGATACTAGCCCTGTAAGCACTTAGTTAAAAAAGCAGCAATTCCTTTGATTTACTCCATCCTAGAAGGCTCTGCAGGTGTTGTGTTAGGGATTAGTGTAAAAGGAAAGACTCTATTTGCTTTTTTCTCTGCTCCAATACATGCAGTTTGCTCAACTTTCAGCAAGCAAAGCTTGGAAGTTACATACACCTCTTGAATGGTGACAGCAGCCTTTTCTTATTTCTCAAAACTGGAGATAAAAACATCACATATTATCTTTAGTTTCACAGTGCTAGGGTCATGAGTCTCTAAAATTTTACATTCACAAAGCGCTTGATAACAATCTCAAAGACGAACTTTGAGACTTCACTCTCTGACCTTGCACTCAAGATTAAAGAGGATACACAGTCCAAAGCTCCCAGTAATAACCTATTTTCCCTCTTGTCACTCAGACACAAAAAGCTCCTTTGACTCAAGCACGAGTTACTAACTTGGCAGTCAGTGGCCTAAGCCTCAATCAGTGCAGCTGTCAAGAGGGGCAGTTCTCTCCCCTCAGTGTTCATGTCCTCCCTCATCCCTGCACTTGTCCTCAGAGATCACGTTGAGTTGTTTGCCGAGACAGGTCCAACAGACAACTGAAGGTCTGATGGACCAGCTGGCTGCACGCTGAGTGCACCAACGATGTAGAAAAGCCCTTTTCAGTAACATGGACTCAAGCTGATGGTGAAACTGAGACCTGAAAGGGCTACGAGGAAAAACAATAGGAGAGGGAGCCTAGAACCACCTCACACAGGAATGACAGCACTGCTGCCTGCACGGAGGAGCAGAAACATTTACACAATTGGGTGAAAAAAGGTACTGAAAAAGACCACTATGTGTGTGAAGGGCCAATAGGAGTTATCCTTACAGAAAAAAAAAAAAAAAAAACCAAACCAAAAATAAAAGCAATGCCCGAGACAGGAGAAGTTTTATAGAGGCCCCTCTGAACACTGCACTCTTGCCACACCTCTTATGAGTCACTGGGAAAGTGTTGTGCATTGGGAAGCCATTTTATAGTGTGTTCTCTGCTCTAGAGATTTTAGGTGAAGAGCACTTTGCACACATCCTTGACTAGTATATGCGGGCTTCAAGCCACTCCTCACAACTCAGGGTGGTTCTCTTTCAAACTTACTCCACTGACAAGGCAGCAATGTACTCTAAGTACATTCAGTTTCTGTACCATAGAATTTATGTTTATTTTTTTTTTTCAAACAAGCTCAAAGTCTTCTCAGCAAAACTACAGGGAAACTTGGTCACAATAATCCCACTGAACTCCAAAGTAATTCCCATTACTTGAAAATAACTCAGATACCAACTACAACCAACGAAGAAACCCACTGCAACATCATAAAACACTGTTAAGAATAATGTAATGTCAAATACAGCACTGACAGTCAAAACAGGTGCAGATGAGATCATGCACTTTGCCTCACTGCAAAATTACTGCACATAAATGCAGTGTCCCCTGACTAACCCTACTGAAGTAACACAAGAAGTCTCTCTGACTCCAGTAATCATGTGCAACCGAACGCACAAGCTTCTATCTCTTTCAGAAGAAGGCTACCTCCAGGTTAGACTACTTAATTTCAGGCTCCCTGTCACACTTTATCAGCTTACAGTATGTTTATGCACCGCAATTAGTTATGACTGTTCCACCAACCTGCTCTGTATGGCCATGATTGAGGTTTTTCTTAATTTCTCTCACTGGACGATGCAAGTTGTACAACACTGATCTTGTTTTTCAGGCAGGGAGGCATAGTTCATTTGCCTGACGATCTCAGCAAACAGTTCATCCACCATTGTTTTGCTCTTGGCTGACGTCTCCATGAAGGGACAGCCCCACTCCTGAGCCAGGGCTCTGCCTTCTGCAGATAAGACCTCCCTCTCCGACTCCAGATCCACTTTATTCCCCACTAGGATCAGGGGAACTTTCTCGTATCTCTTCACCCGGACAATCTGGTCCCTCATCGGCTTGATGTCCTGATCAAACAATCCAACTGGTTAGTATGTGTGAGTAATCACATGAAATTGCTATATAATCACTACAGAAGCACATTTTAATAACCCTCACATGCAACTGAACGTTCAAAATACATCAGAAAACTTCTTAAATTCATATTCATGCAGATCTAGAGCTCAGAGAAAGTTTACTACCCATCTTTAATAAAAATTAACTTTATCTAAATGCACAGACATCTTATAAAATGCATGTGTTTATACAAACAGAAAGTGACTGCTGTACTCTAAGAGAGACTTCCTGTTCAGCTAGAGGAAGATACAGTATAGCTGCTTTGAAAGTTGATTTCAGTTTTCTAAAAAAAGTTGTCTCAAGTCTAATGACCTGTAACATTAGCAGTAGGATGTCATTACACAATCATCTAGGAAGCTTGTGTTTAGTGTACAGCTTGAGAAAGCCAGTCACTTAAATAAGGCCTTCTCACTTCTGGAATGCTTAGAATAATTCATTGTGAACACATTTAATCACATGTAAGTGACCAAATTAGACGTTGTAAAGAGATTTTATTACCTAGAGATGCATTTATTCAAGTCTGAGCTAACATTTGGAGTTTACACTTGGAAGTCTGAGTCAGCCGCCTTTGCCCCCTGAGTGTTTTAAGTTAGTATCAGTGCTACTGAGTTCTCGCACAGTCCCAAGACAATGCAATTTAAACGTTTGAAGTCACCACTCTTGTAGAAGAGCTGCAGAGAATATTTTACACCTGCAGACTTCAGAGTAAACATGCGATAGACAGACAAGAATAATTAAATATTAACAGGGTGGATTACTAACTGTACATCCATTCCTCGAGTAATGGGGACTCAGGGGTCCCCCAGTTAAGTAAAAATGAGGGAGCATCCCAATGTCATTGCTGTTGTTTTCCAAAGAAAGTATGGCTTCAGCTTGTACTCGGGCTATTTCCAGGCCTCTGCTAAGATAAAGTTCAGCCTTCGGCAGAAGCGAACGTACTGCTTCAGTGGGGCTGTGCAAGGTTGTGCCAAGCAGCTGGAACACACCCAACTCAGCAACTGAAGCCAATGTAGTTGTTGCAAATCCCTGCACTGCATGCAGTGCTGATAAATTCACTTACTCCCCACAAATAAAGCCTACTTTCTAGAGGAAGCTTGGGCCAGTTACTGGCTATTTCAATTTTTTTTTTGAGGGAGAGAGTTTTAATAGTAGAAATGAAATCCAGACCCATAAATTATTGCATATGACTTGCTTCTCCTCTTCAGTACACCACCTACGCTGTGAAAGCATCGCGCTTATGCTGGACAGGAATATATTTTGGGGGAGGGGGGCAGAAAACAGCAGCTTAGTTAACAAGTCACAACTGCAGAACAATAAGACTCTCTTCAAGACCAAGTGGAGAAACATGCCTTCTAAGAAGAAGGGGGGGAAAGAAAAAAAAAAAAAGAGGAAGTCTCGATTTTAATATCAAGGGATTTTTTTTTTCATAAAAGGGGATTGCCAAAAGGTTTCTGTTGGGGAAGTGGGAGCAGGTCATTGTTCTCCACCACTGCGTGGGATTTAACAATGGTGGCACCCTGATAAGTACCTGCACAACAAGCAGTTTTCCATCAGGAAGCAGGGCTGGCACGGGCACTCTCGAGCGGGACATTTTCACTGTCGCCCCTCCGGAGAGAAGGAGCACACACGCACCCACGGCCAACCCCAAAACGTCCTTCCCCCTCCCCCCCACACACCCCCCCCGGGGCCGCCGCCTCCCCGCCCCCCCGAGCTGCCGCCCGGGGGAGGTTACCTGGAAGGACTGCTGGTTGACCAGGCTGTAGACGAGGATGAAGCCCTGCCCGTTTTTGATGTAGAGATCGCGCATGGAGGCGAACTGCTCGGTACCCGCCGTGTCCAGGATCTCCAGCACCGACGGCGAGGAGTCCACCTCGATCTCCTTGCGGTAGAAGTCCTCGATGGTGGGGTCGTACTTCTCGATGAAGGTCCCGGTGACGAACTGCACCGTCAGGGCGGACTTCCCCACCCCGCCGCTGCCCAGCACCACCACCTTGTACTCCCGCATCGGGCCCCGCAGCCGCTCGCCGCTCCCCCCCCCGCTCCCTGCGCCGGGCCCGCCGCCGCGGCCCGGGCCTAGGGCAGGCGGCAGCGCGGCCCTCGCATCGCTGCGGCCCGCCTGAGGAGAAAGGCGAGGCCCCGCCGCTCCGGCGCCGTCCTGAGGGGAGAAACGACCGTCCGGGCCCGGCCCCGCCGCCCCGCTCCGCTCCTCACCGCCGCGCCTCACTCCATCCCGCCGCGGGGACCCGCCCGGCAGCGGCCGCCCCCGCCCGGAAGGGTTACGCTGCGGCACCCGGAGGGGGCGGGAGGGGAGGGGGGGGGGGCGCGCCCCGCCCCGCCGGTTCCCTTCCGGCCGCGCTGCTTCCCCGCCCCGGACGCTGGACTGGGCGGGGACGGGTTTGAGTGTGGCACCGAGGCATCCCCCGCCTCCTGAGGGGGACCGGTTTGAGTGTGGCACCGAGGCGCTTCCCCCCCCTACACACCACCGCCTGACCTGAGGGGACGGGTTTGAGTGTGGCACCGAGGCACCGCCCCGCCTCGGAGCGGGAGAGGCACCGCGACATGGCGGCCGCCCGCGGGGCCGTGTCCGGGCTGAGGGCCAGGCAGGCAGACCCCCACCTCGGCCAGGCAGGCAGACCCCCACCTCGGCCAGGCCCGGGCGTCCCTGAGGGGTGAGCGCAGCCCCCGCGGGCCCGCTGGGCCCAGTTCGGCCGCCTGCTTGCGGGGCCGCGCTGCTCCCGGGCTCCGGCGGCACAGCGCAGCCTCGCTGGAGTTCCGGCATAGAAAACATCCTCAGTCACGGCAGAAGTTCCCGTAAAAAAAAAAAAAAAAAAAAAAAAAAAAAAAAAAAAAAAAAAAAAAAAAGGCGGTTTTCTCCAGGAGCGCGTTGGCCAACTCGTGCTCGGTGCTTGTGAGCTCCAGGAAAACTCAGCCCTGAGCTCCCCGTGGGGTTCAGCGGCGCGGAGGAGGGCTGGGGGGGGGCGCGCACCGACACCCTGGCCGTGCCTGGAAGCGGCCTGTAGCTCGGGCGGGCTGACAAAAGCTGCTCTGTCCGCCTCCCGCCGCTGAGCTGTACCCTCGCACCTCCACGGCTGCGGCAGGAGCCGCCGCATCGGGCTGCCGGGGTGCTCGGGCAGAGGTTTTGCTTTCCTCCCCTTTGCTCCCTTTGGCACGAAAAGCCCCCCCAAAACCGGCGCTTCACACTTCCCTCCCTCCCCCCTTCTCCTTGTTCAGAGGAAGGAACTAAAAAAGGAGCCTGCCTTCTGAAATAAAATCCCTCCGGTCACTTCGAACCCGACTCCATCGTATAGCCCAAAGCGTCCCCACCCAGAGGAGAAGCTTCCCTCTGATACAACCAGATTTTGGTTTCTGGGCACCAGACTGCTGCTTCACCGCTGTCTGCTGAATTTCGGGAGATAAGTGAGCGCCGGGACTTGTCCCTGTCCTCTGTGCATCACCCGTGTGATTGGAAGTCTGGGGCAGACACGGCTGGCTGGCTGTGTTGCGTGTGTCCTGCACCTCCAGCGGGTCCCAGAGAGGTGCCAGGTCAAGGCTAAGCATCACCCAAAGCCACAGAAAATATGCTGTAGAGGTGCCTCTGCTTGTGGCTGTTTCCAAAAGTACCATCGTTTTATTAACTTTCTTCCTATAAAGAGAGTCTGTCCATTATAGGGAAAGCTCAGTGAGAACACTTAGCTCAGAGGACATTTAGCCACCAGAATTATATAAGTTACATTAAATTAGAGTCACTCTTCTTTATTACAGTAAAGTAATAACCCTCCTTCCTTTGTCATTGCCTCCACAATTGTCTTGTCAAGTGAGTTGCTGGCATGAGGTAGATGTGCCTGGATGGAAGATACTCATGTGGCTGGTGAATCAGCTCGAAAATGTAAAAAGGTGAGCATTAAAACAGGCTGCCTCCTACTACTTCAACCCTATTATAAATCATAAGTAGTTGCAAAGTACCTAATGCATTCAAGGTGCTCAGGAAAAAAGGACGACGATGCAGTCCCTTGCAGAGGAGCTTCCCAGCTAATTTTAACTGTGACACAGTCGGTGACAGTGACAAATGGGGGGAGGGAGAAAAGGGGCAAGGGAGGATGAGGGTGACAATAACGAGATTACACGGTCACTTAGGTTCATTATGTGCATGTCTTTGTGGCACTGCTGGCCCATTATGTTTGCCATGGGTGGAGGAGTGACTAAGGGAGATGAATCGGAGCAAAGAGCACAGCTGCGGGGAAAGGGGAAGGAAAAACTAATATTTTTTTGTGGAATTCCACTTAACCAACAATGCCTCACTCTTGGGCTGAGCGGGCAGTCCAAGCAGGTGGGCGCAGGATTGGGAACCTGGACTTTTTTCCTTCAGGTGCATAATCAGGATCAGTTTGGACTCCCGGAGATTTATTTCCCAACTCACAGCACCTTATACCTGGCCATACCTGTCTACAGCTGAAAAAAAAAATTAAAAAAGGGCCGATCCTTAGGACGAGTCATTCCCTTCATTAAACAGTTTGCACAGCTCTTTCACCGCCTTGTATGCCACCATGTACTTGGAGCCACAAAATTAGCTGGTGATGTAAAAGGTTTTTGAAACTCTGGATGGCAATAGCTACTTCTGCCATAAATGGCCAAGCCCTGAGCCGGCCACGCAGGGCACCTCCTGCCGATACTGCCCCTCCGCCGCTCCCTTGCTGTCACCATCTCCGTCCTGGTGAGGTGCGGCACATCCCGGGTCAAAGGCCTGATCTTGGCTGCCACTTTCTCCCCAGCTCCTGCCAAGGAGAAAGGCGCAGGGCTCGGTCCTCGGCGCTGCCCCAAGAGGGTTTGCCCTCTCAGCAAAACAAAACTCCCAAATGAGCATCTGGGCAGGACTTGATTGCTGCCAGAGCGGCTCTGTGCTGTTGATGGACTCAGCTGCTCTATGCCATGCCCTCAGCCGGTAACAGTAAAGCAGGCTCTTATTAAATTAACCTGCTAAGACACAGATCCTGCAGGGATGTTCAGGGAATGAACAGATGGCAGAAGCGAGGGCCAGGAATAATTGCAATCTCCCTCTCACCAACGCGAGAGACGGATCCTGCCCGGTGCTGTGTCCGACAGGGACGCGGGAGGGATGGCCGGCAGCACCCTGCCCTGCAGAGCCAGCCCCGAGAGGTGACAGAGGAGCGTCCCCAAGCTCTGGAGGGAGTGAGGAGTCTGGAGCATCTCCTACAGATGCCAGAGTAGGGCTGCACTGCCTCCCCACCCGCCAAAGCCCCCCCAGCCATGGAGTGGCCGCTGCTGCTGCTTCTTTCAGCCTGTCCACGCTGTCGTTACCAACCGGCTTGCTGCTGTGGCTGCCGGAGGCATAGACCAAGCTCTTCTCTTCCAGAAAGCCTGCAGCAGGCTGCTGAGTGAAGGCAGCTGGCTAGGTATGCAGCAGGGGTAGCCTGGATTTCACGTACGCTACCGTCTAGCTGCGCACATCATTTGTGTAAATACATGCAAAACCAGCTTAAGACCTAGTGTTTTTTCTTCTCCGCCTCTTCCAGCGGTTTTGCTAATCCACTTATTGTGCCTTATGGTGTTCAGTGTGTAAGCTGCAGGGTAGGGACAGGCTCCTCAGGGCTTGTACGGCTGCCCGAGCACTGGGGGCTGCTCTCACATGCGGCTCTTTTGAGGAGGTCCTGTCATACCAGTTGCGTAACCGTAATGACAGCTTTCGATTTCAGCTCTGTCAGATTACAGTGAAATACGATGTAGGGATCGGATGTGTTCACCTGGCCCAGACTCCTAATTCTGGGGCCGTTTCAGGCAGTACGACCTGTGGAGATACTTTTCTTCTTTGACAGCTTTTCCTGACAACATAGAGATGACTCAGAGGCAAATTCTGAGGAACCTTTCTCAGAAATTTCTTATTTTCTGCCAGCCATCAGCTTTTGGCCATTACTTTAGCAGCACCAAAAGGCAAGCTGACAAGAAAAAAAAAAAAAAAAAAGGTAAAGGACATTTTCCAAAGCAATTACCGATTCTGGGGCAGAAGTGGGGGTACACTGAATTATAATTGATACAACAAGGAGGTTATTGGGATTTCTGGGTGGAGAAGCATCTCACTTTGGTCCCCAGGCGTGGTACCAGATCACTGACCATTTAGAAGAGCTTGGCCCAGGAGCTGGTTGGTGCTGACGAGCAGCACCTCAGGGGAAGATGTTGTTGCTACACCCTGCCACACTGACGGCCTGCAGCCCCTCACCTCTGCACCAGCCCTGTCTCCTGGTTACCCCCCTCAGATGCTGCATCTCCTGCCTGCAAGCTCAACATCTCGCACCCAGAAAGTTGGTTTCACAGGTCGGTCCTCTTCCTGTTTTCTCCAGATGTCGAGCAGCTCCGCGGCTCCCAAAAAGTGGCTCATCCTCCACACGCACGACATGATGCCAGCACGGAGCACTCTCCTTGGGTACCAGCTTCCATGAATTTCTGCAAAGTTGAGGGGACAGGTGATCTAACCTTGTCAAATCGCCAGCACGTGTGACAGCATCTCCCTAGAAATATATACACGTACATATTTTAAAGTTTCTAGCCAACACTTTAGTAGAGTAAAACTGAAAATAGAGCTCCTTAAGGCTCAAAAGCCAGAAGGCAACAGTGAACAATGAAACCAAACCTATTGCTTTAAATGAAAAGAAAGGAGGAGGGAAGGTAAATACACTGTCAAGACATTTTTTTTTTTTAAATTTTTGAAAATGAAGCAATTTTAAACTGATGTCTAACAGAAGAATTCCCCTTCGCTTTTAAAATTCCATGGGTTTTCCTTTTTTTATCATATTCCTGCACCATTTGCAATTCAAATGCTACAGAAATGTGCAAACTTGTGCATGAAATGCGCTAGCAAAATGAAGCAACCAACGATTCATTAGAGTGAAACCCTCTGCTTTACTCCCGTTGGAGGGAAAGAGAGGGAGAAAACGTAAAATCCAACCCAAGTGGAGTATGGAGAAATACTTTAATATGATGTTGATCTTAATAAGCAAAAATATTTCTTTCTTCTTTTTAATAAATTACTTTTCGTTTGACGGTTTTCCCATAGTAAAGTGACAAGTATTATCCTGAGCTGTTAATTCCTCCGTGCAGACTCCAGTGCTGAGCTCATTAAAGCGTGCTGAATCCCCCGGCCGGGTGCTGCCAGGTTGTGCGATGACCTGAGACCAGTACAACTGCTGTGCATCCCATCTCCAGCCCTGGGACAGCCTGGCTTGGTGACGCGGGGACGTTCCCGCTGAAATGCTGGTGCCTCTTTCCACGGGGCAACC